GCAGGAATCTCAAGTCGCGGGTCCCATCGGCGGGAGCAGTCGCAGCCTGCTGCGCCGATGCTGCTGCCAGGCCAGGGCTGCGAGTCCCCCAGCAGCCGAGGGCCAGCCCTCCGGGTAGCCCTGCGAGGCAGGACCGGCTGCAGCCCCCTCCCTCTCCTCTTTCGAACTGTATTTTTTGTCTTTTCCCTTTTGTGTGTGTGTGTGCTTGGATCCTGATTCACTGTGTGTGGTGGAGCTCTCCGTATTTTCTGTCTCTCTGCTGACAGACCTTTGCTGGATTCCTACTTTTTGTTAGCTGGTTAAGAAGAAGAAACAAGAACCATTCGGGAGAGAAGTTTACTTAAATAAATGCAATAGGTTAGATGATTTTTTTCTTCATTTGATCATTGGGGTTTCACTTTCCTCCAAAGTGATGATGAATTGGAGTCAGAAGGTTTGGAGCAAGAGACAAACTCTTTGAAAAGTTTATTGTATTCAAGTAAGACCTTAATCCTGATTTTTGTCTCAGTACTGTCTATCCTGTAGATAATTGTTGTCTAGCAGGTTAATTTAGTATTTTTGTCCTTATTTTAGGAAAAGCTTGAGACTGGTGTAAAACAAAGAAAAAGTCTTAAAAGTTAGTAAGCCTGAGACACTGCATGGATTTAATGAGGTCTGCTCCCAAGTTGCTTAGGTAATTCACACTCGGTCTCTCTGAAGTTAATTAGGTGCTAGTATACAAAGTCTAAATCCTTATAAAGTAACTTCCTTACAGATGCTACAATGAACTTATTAAATCCTGTGATGCATCATCAGTCTTGTTGGTGTCAGCTGGAGTGAAGGGCTCTGAGCACTGCAGAGGACTAGGCACATCTTAAGAATTCATTATGAAAAGGAATTTTTAATTATTTTGCTTGCCTTTCCACCATAAGACTTTAAACATGTAGCAGACAATATTCTCTAAGGCTTCACGCAGTGGAGTGTTCGTTAGTTGTTTACATTTGGACTTTATTTTATGTAGGGCTTACTAGTGGATATGTTGGTGGTAGACACAAATACTTGTATTTGAGCTGCTCTTACACAAAGCTGGGGTACCCCAGCAGTCTGCTGCGTGGCTATCCCATGGGAAAGGCGCTCCAATATATTTTTTGAGTATTGCATCAGAATATTACACACACAGAGAGCAGAGCGGCTTTTCATGTAAGATTGAACTGCTATTTTTCTTATCTCTTACAGGAATCTTTCTTGGCGTGTTCAGTAGGTCACTATGAATAATGTGCTTTCTCGTTTGGCAGCCAGACGGGAAAGCTGGGGGAAGGGGAAGAGGAGAGGAAGGCAAGGACTCCTTACATTCAGGGATCGAGTGAAACCAGCACTTTCCCTTTCTTACAAGATCCAGCAAAAGCCAGTGCTTTGTTCTGATGGCAGTCATCGCTTTCCCACCCAAGACCTCCTTCTTGGTGCCTCTGGGAAAAGCAGTAGACAGAGATCTAAACTATCCAGGCTGCAGCAGTGAGTGCCATGGCATCCTGGCTTTGCCCCAAGGTTTGGGGTGAAATGCATTGGAGATAAAGTGAGGGCATGAGAATACCTGTGTCTGAGGTTGCAGAGCCTGGGTTTGAGCCTTTCCCCGTGGACATTTAGAAGTCAAAGCAAGGTGGAAGAGGAGCAGAACTCTCCTCTACTGGACAGTGCTTAGCCAGGGTGGTGGGGCTGCCCTCCGAAGGAGGGCTCAGGCAAAGCTGATGTTCGGTTTGTCTCGTGCTTCTCGTGGTAGGAGTGATGGGCTTCCCTGACCTGGAGCTGCTGGAGAACTTACGGGTCTAAGAACCAGGCCTAAAACTGTTCTCCAGGCAGGTCCATCAGATACAGCTCACAGCTGAGACTGCTTCCCCGTTCCACCCCAGCAAGCGTGCTGGATCACAGGAGAAATGCAGCATGGTGGCAGGGTTCAGGATTTGGCCCTTTTTGTGTGTAGGGTCAGTTTCTTGGCTGTTGTAAAACCTGGTGACACTGGAAATGGATGGCAGCTACATCAGATCCCGGCTCTGCACAGGAGAGATGCTGGTCACCTTCGGCAGTTTCTGTGGGAGTCACCTGCCCATCTGGAAACCTCCAGGGAGCTGGAGGGAGACGTGGTGTCTGCATTGTTTCCTAACGCCTGCTCCTCCTGGCTCGCCAGCCCTTGCTCTTTACAGCTGCTTTGCAGGAGTTCATGTTGCTGGTACTTTATCTTCTTCACGATGCTGCGGCCCCCACGGGAGTTAAACAGCCGAGCTGATGCCGCGTGAGTGGGGCTGGGGGCCGAGAGCTGCGCCAGCCTGTAGGGATCGAGCGCAAGGAGAGCAGCGACCGGAGGGGGAACGGTTTGCTGATGGAGGAGTTATGGGGTCCTCTGCTGCGTGGGAACAGGGCAGATACTGGGACTGTGGCAGGGGAGCAGCCCAAGGGGGGGATCCCCCGGGGAGGGGGAGAGCCTGTTCGCGGGAGGGGAGGGCACGCTGGAGCAAGTGCTCTGCGATCCAGCAGACCCATACGCTCTGTGTTTTCAGAGGCTTTGCAGCACGGCCCCCAGCCCCTAGCAGTCTGGTAAATCCTACAGCTGTGCCTGTGCTCAGCCACCTTCCGAATCCCAAAAACCTGCTGGTACCACGTTGCCTTGTGGCTGGCTTAAGGACTTATGTGGAGAAGCGTTTCCTTGTTTGGAAATGGGTGTTGCTAGCTGCAGTTTATCTGCCCCCCCCCCGCTTTTCTGGAGGGTACTTTAACCTGTGACTGCCCTTTTAGTCTCCTGATGCCATTCCTATCCGTATAGATCCCCAGCATATCCTGCCACGGTTCCTTCTCCAGGCTGAAGGGCCTTGTCTGCTTGTTCCTCTCATGCAAGCAGCTGCTTTTCTTTCATTACTCATCTTGCTTCTTTTTCCTTAAATCTCAACATTCAGTTTAATAAAGGGCAGCTGGAACAGCACACCGTACTCAAGACACAGATGCGCTGCGGGTTTCCGTGCTGCCGCACAGCGTTTTCTGTTTCCTTCCCTGGCAACACCTTCGCCTGGGGCGCCTCGGGCTGTGCCGGGCATCTTGGCCGTGCCCAGCAGCGTCACCTCCTGCCCGGGCAGGGACCCCGGGGTGCAGCTCCCGCTTCCAGCTGCAAACCGAGCCCCGATGGACTCGCTGAGATCGGGTTTTCTTGTGCAGGCCAGATTCCCCTCTTCCTCACGTGCAGGAAAGCAGCTTACTGCTTGCCCCTGCCCTGCAGCAGAGAGTTGATGAATCATTTCCTTTTCCATATTTCAGTGAAATTGTGCTGTTCAGAGCTCATCTAAAGCATTTTAATGTTTTCAGCACTTGCACTCTTCTCTTCGTGCTCTTCCTGCCATTGTCCGAAGGCTGGATTTTTTGTCTCCCCTCCCACCAGTTGCTGTTACTTGGTCGGAAGAGTTGCGGGTGCGTTTGTCTCTGTCAGTGCAAATTAATTTTTTTTCCTCATTTTCTAGTCAGCCCTTTCATTCTTATTGTACGTTGGTGTCAGTGCGGTTTTAAAGCGTGAATGTGTGTTGCTACCGAGGAGAGTGATCTTCGACAGAAAGGAAACCGAGGCACCGCTACTTGTGCCTTTAGACCTGGGAGACTGCTCAGTTGAATGTAAAGCTAGGGTTGTATTAAAACAAAAAAAAATAGTTCAGAGTTTTGAATAACAGACTCTGATTGATGCTGGGATTTCTGCACGGTAAACCACTGCTTTGTGTGCTCGGCTGTTGGAGAGGGAAACTGGTACGTCAGCAGAGAGAGAGGTGTTGCTCTGAATTAGCTGGAGCTGGGTACATCGTCGGAGGCCCCAGTTTTGGTTTAAATACTGGCTGCAGTGGGGGCAGCAGGTCCTACAGAAAGTGGGGGTTGGCTTGGCTTGGGTGTGTTGCTCCTGGGTTGGCAAAATAAGGAGATGAAGGGACAGTGCGGTTTATTGTCGAGACGCTGGAAGAGGCCTGGAAAGAGGTGTGTGTTCAGCATTCCTGTTGTAGCCTACACAGTAAGCTAAAGGAAGTACCAATATGTCAACCCAAGGAGCAAGGGAAAAAAAAAGATTGCTTAAGGGTGCTGATTGCATGGGTATCTCGGCATTAATGAAAACAGAGGAGGAAAAGAGGCAAGCAGGCAGCTTTTACAGGCTATGTATAATAACCCAGGGCCTGGCTTCCAGCTAGGCAGCGAGCTACCTGCATTGTGAAATGCGTAACGAGGAGCGGAGGTTTTTTCCCAAAGCTCCACTTCCCCGAGGCTGATTCATATCTGCCCTCATTGTTATCTGCTGTGTTCACAGGGGTTTTTTTCCTTTTGTTAGTCTGTTTTCCTTCCTTGTATTTAAAGAATAGCTTATCTGTATGCCCCAGAAGGGTGTGACTCGCAAAGATCACAAGCTTTTTACAACGAGCTAAAGCCAGCCTGCTGACTGCCAGAAAACACGCTGAGGTTTTCAAACACAAGGGCCACATCGCCCTTGCAAAAGGCGGCGATCGCGGCGAGATGCGCGGCGGCAGGACTCGGCCGGATCCGGGGCGTGCGTTTCCACTGCTGACAGCAAGTGTGCTGAGAACATCGTCTCATCTTGGAGAACCGCTGCTTTTGTGTTTCAGTACTCGGCATCCCCGCTGCTCTGTGCTGTGAAGGGCAGGAGCAGAAGGGCACAGAGGTGTTTCTGGACGCGTCGGTCACATGTACATGGTGACCCGAGCTGGAGTCTTGGAGTCGGAAAATGACCCCTCAGCTGAGCTCTGCTGTGATGCCAGTGACCCGGGACGGGTCACCTAATGCCTTGTCACTCTTAGCCTGCCTCCTCGTGTACATTCACTGTGCGTGCCTGCGTACTCCGTCGAGCTATTACAAAGCCTGTAGAAGATTGAATTCATTCTGTCGAAGCCTTAGAGTACCCCCCTCATGTTACTGAGGCTCCAGTAGTAGGAGAAGGAGAGGAAAGGCACCAATTTGTCTGTTTTTTTTTTTTACTAGGAACCTTTGCAATGGACGACGGCACAGACTCTCTGATGACTGTGCATCTGCTTGCCAATTCGGGATGCTCTTTGCTTCTGCAGCAAACTCTGGATCGGCTTTTAGAGTGGATCTGCCTGGACATTCGCCTTTTCCTGGTGTCTGAGCGAGTTACTCCACTGAAATACTATGAGAGATATCGTAAGGGAAGCTGCGGCTTTCCCGGAATATCAGTTCTCCTTTTTCTACACGAGGACTTGGGAGAAGAACGGATTTTCCAGGTCCACGAGCACTTCCAGCGTCCGCCCTGGCGCTACCAGTGTGCCCAGATTGCTAATGGGCGAAGCCACCCCTATGCCCCAGCTCACCAGGACTTCTACAGCCTGGAGGACCAGATGCCTGTCTGGGGAATGAGGCGGGTGCATTGTGGCCCCGAAATCCTGCGTGTCACCCTCTACTGCAGTTTCGATAACTACGAGGATGCAGTGAGACTCTACGAGATGATCCTACAGAAAGAAGCAACTGTGCAGAAAAGTAACTTCTGCATCTTTGTGTTGTACGCGACCCGAAATCTTGCCGTGCAGCTCTGCTTGAAGCAGCTGCCCATCGGGGTGGTTGCTGAGCCGAAGGAGTCCTCAGCCCTGCAGTTCAAGGTGCAAGAAATGGGGCAGCTGGTGCCTCTCCTGCCTAACCCGTGTATTCCCATCAGTAGCACCAGGTGGCAAACGCAAGACTACGAAGGAAATACAATTCTGCTTCAGGTATGTGTCTGTGGTGCTCTGAGGGGAGGTTTTATGTTTTTACTTTTTTTCAGGGAAAGCAGGACTGGTTCAAAATGGAAGTGAAGATTTTGCTTGTTCATGTTTTCTTTAGCGTTTGTGAATGCAGTGATCGGTATCTGCCAGTGCCGTGATGCTATTGCTACATACAAGCACGGATCCTTGGAATGCTTTTATATTGTTAAATTAACATCATTACTACTTGCCTGAAATTGAAAGTATAAATGCTTTTTTGAGCAGGCTAGTTGAACATCTTCCCTCCCCTGCCTGAATCAAATGGTCGTAGCAGCCTATGCTTTTTCTGATAAGTCATTACATTATAAATGTTTTTGAAAGCAGATTTTTAGCATCCACACCCAGATGTGTTGTAAGTATAGAGTTGATACAACATTGCCTGCAATAGATTTTTGTGAGCTCTTGAGCGAAGTGCAGCTGGGCAAAAGTGCCGAAGCAATGTGTAATAGGAAATCTCTGCCTTTCTGTTCAAGTGCAGGGTCCAGAGGTTGTATGAATATGAATAAATAAAAAACAATAAAAAAGGCCGTGCTGAGATGATACATAGTGGGAATTATACATGTGAGCGGGAGGGCAGTTTAGCTCAGTGTGCTTTCTTTCCAGTGGAGCAACCTCTCCCACCTCTGATTATTTTTTTTTTTTCTTGTTGTTTGGATATTTAAATAATTGGCCAATCCTGTGTGTTTTTTCTTTTTCCTTCCAGAGCTCATCTGCTCCAAATGAAGTTAATTATTCTGTACGGCCTATTTTTATGCTACTCTGAACACTAATCCTCGGGGCAGCCTTCACGTACTTCTCATTCAGTATCACTTTATAAACGGGTTTGCCACCTGCTTGGGCTGGACAAGGCCCTGAGCATGGTCCTGTAGCTTTGAAGTTGGTCCTGCCTGGAGCAGAGGACTGGGCCAGGTGACCTCCAGAGGTCCCTTCCCAAATCACTCTGTGGCTCTTCCTGCTGTAGAGACAAGGTCTTTAAACTGACAGACCTACACGAATTCGCTGGCAAGGAGATTTGGCAGACTTTGGGGGGATGTAGCCATGCTGCACTGTGCTCCTGGCAAAGGAGGCTGGAGTCCACTTGAGGACGTGTCTCTTGTGGCCGTGCTCCACGCAGCACGCTGACAGCCTGGCACGTGGTGCTTTATTCTGCAGCTCTTCGGTTCATGCTGTAAATCTTTATTCTAAGTACCTGCAAATGATTTATGTCCCACCCCGACTTTCTGCCTTATTGCAAACCAAAACCAAGGGTCTGCTCATGGACTGCACCCGCATGGAGCTGTCGTTCCTCCCTGAGCCTGCAAGAACTTTTTTCTTGGTTTCATTGGGAAATAGATAACTCAAGCCACCTAGTTTGATAAAGAAGTAAACACACCACATCCTCTCTCACTGGTTACTGTTCTATTCCATGTCCTTTCTCTGAGTGTTTACAGGAGATCCTTGTTGCTTAAATTTTACAAGTTTAGCCTTAAGGCTCAAATAGGAGTCTTCAGTAGGAGAGTAGGACCATCTCCATATGCTCTTTTGCAAATAAAGACATGAAATGCGTCTTTAGCCTTCCAGAGGACTGGTGGGGCAGGTGCCTTGCCCTGGTGTCCCTGGGGGCAGCATGCCCCACCAGAACAAGTGGAACGTGCTCAGCAGGTCCCAGTCCCAGTGGCCTTGCTGATCTGATAGGTATCTCCTCCCTGCGTTAGTGCTGGTCCATGCGTTACCCAGCTGTCAAAGGAATGCTGTTTGATCCAGAGCTTCCTGAACAAGTTTCTTTCCAAAAACAGCCAGTCAGGATTTGCAGACATGAAGAAGCTCTAGTAGATCTGATGCCTCTGAGGTGGTTTTGGGACAGGCACAGCTGTTTGTGTGTGCTGTGTTTAGGTCACCTACAGCAAATCTGTCGCGTATGTGCACACCAGTCCTGAAAGCCCTCTGAAAGCTGCCCACAAGCACCACAGCGTGTGCGTGCTGCCATCAGGGAAATCCCAGACAGAGGTGTAAGAGCTTGATAGATGCTGCGTGGTGATTCCGGTGTTTTGTCTGGACTGGTTTCCAGCCACAGCTGGCCATAGGTGGCTGCCTTGGCAGGAACAACAAGAGGACAAGTGCATGTGTTCCACCCCACCAGTACACTCCAGAGCTGCCTGTTTTAAACTCGAGGGTCTGCAGAAGCCAGCTGTGGTAACTTGCAGTGCCTCTCCTTTCCAAGTGTTGATCTACTCTTCCCTTGAATCCATGTGAACTTTCTGTACCCATGACATACTGTGGCAGGGCCCTCCTCAGGTCTACTGCCACCTTCCTTTCACTGAAACTGGCTTCAGCTGGCTTCGTTTGATGGCCTCTGCTTCTTGCATTACAAAGGGCAGGGAATGACCAATACCTATCTGTTTCTCCAGGTGGCTCATGGAATTTTAGCCTTTATCCGCTCCCTCCCAAATTAGTTTTTTTTTTTTTCCCCAAGCTTAAAATTCCCACCATACATGACTGTTCCTTTACTGTGCTTGCAGTTATCCTTGTTGTACATTTCTGAGCATTTCCAGCTCCATGTTGTGTGCTGCAGGTGAGGGGCAGGCATCGTGGTCCAGCTCTGGGACCAGAGCTGCACTATGCATAACCATGTTCTCCATTTTGTTTGGAATAATTCTGGAGATTTCATTTGCTTCTAGGCTGCTGTCAGGCAATGATCTGATGCTAACATGGTGCTGTCTCACAGAAATGACGCCCTGCGTTACGGTCAACTCACAGCTTAGCATTTTGTATGTGAAGCCAGGAATGTTTTTCTCCATGTAGATCACATTATCTACATCATTTCATCTGCCGTCACTCAGGCTTGTAAGACTCCTGTGCTGTTCTCTGGTGGGGCTCTGACAGACTCACGCTGCCGGTGATTTCAGCACAGCGAGGCCAGGCAAGAGCATCACTTGGCCAAGCTAGAACCATATGTTAATGGAGTTTTCTCCAAATTTTCTTCAACAGGTTCAAGACAGCTCCAAGCCCCGTGAAACAAATGTTGGGCTTTGCCATCAGCGTAATAGCGCAGGCAACGAAAAAATCCTGCAGGACTCCATCCCAGCCCCTCTCCCTGTAAAGCGGGGTAATCCTGGGCGGAGAGGCGAGGAGGTCAGAGCCGTGAAGGATAAAACAAAATCCAACCAAAGCGAAGCCCTTACTCCTGTGCAAGCCGGCGGTGACCTCCACAGGCATCTCTGCTCTTCTCGCAGTGGTCCAGCAGCCCGGTCGTGGTGGGATGCCACCTCCACCTCCCTCCACAGGCAGGCTTCTCTCCAGGAGAGCCACGTTCATCGGCAGGCAGCGGAGACCAACGTGGACGCCGGGCTGGCCGTGGAGGGCCCTGCGAGCAGCTGCTGCCCACTGA